TCCGATTATTTCCGCCCACAAGAAAAAAGGCCAGTGGAAAAAAAACCATCTCGAGAGTTTCTTTTTTTGTTCTTTCTCTTTATATGAAAGAAAAACAAATTCGTTTGTAAGGTCCTGCGATAGTGACAAAAGAGAGCTGACAATATTCCCTTCGAAGCTTCACTTCCGGGCCAAATATTTATTTCTAGGACAATCTCCCGGCCGCGGATATTATCAGCCGACATACCAGCCACCTGAAGGGGTTTATTTACTAAAGAAAAAAAATGGTATTGCGTTGCAAGAACAAACTGTCGAAAATCCTAACTTTTTATAATATTTTGGAGCAGCCACTTTGTTAATCAATTAGTTTTCTTTTTGGAAACTGTAGTGAGAAGGAAAGATGGCATCTATTGTTTTTATTCAATTACTCATAAGTGCCCTCTAAGGTCATGTTTGCTTATATTTATTATTATTAATTAGTTACAAGTCTTCAATCTAACCCTAACCTCCAGATGATTGGGTTAAGCATTCAAACATCACCTCACTTCCCTCTTCCAAAATAGAGTCAATATCCTCAGACAAATCAAAAATCTGTTTAAAGAAAGAATTATAGACATTTTAGGCTGAAGCATTCGCTCATGTTACCTAGTCTGCTTTTAAGGTTCAAATAGTAATGACAATCAATCGTCTTAACCTTTGCCATTGACTTTCTTCTTACAGTGCATAAGTCCGTTAAGACTTTTCCAGTTTCCGTGGCATGAAGCCACTATGTGTATTCCTACTCCCCCCTGGATGGGATGCTAGTCCCTCGAAGAATTACCCCTTTCCTTTAAATTTGCCAGTACCCATTTAAACACCTGGGTGAAGAGAGGCACTGCAAAAGTAAAGTGTCTTGCCTAAGAACACAACACAATGTCCCCGACCAGGGCTCGAGCCCGGACCACTCAATCCGGAATCGAACGCTCTAACCATGAGGCCATCGCGCCCTCCTATTGAACACTGTTACTTGTAAAACTTTCGGTAAATTTACACAGTAATAGATCACTTTCTGTTGAAGTCTAGCAAGCAAGAAATTTAATATTGTTAATAAATGCAAATACACTTATTAAGGGTTTTGTATTTCATCATCTGTGTTTGTAACTATGTCATGTTCTACACTGATGTAAAAACGGATTCTACATCTATCACCAAGTAACTAAATGAGTAATTACATGAACCATTCAGTCTGCAAGAGTGTTTTTGTGACAGATTTGATCACCTGCTTGTGGATGAGTTAATTTATAATCAACCACCTATCATGCTAACAGAAATTACGCCTTTAAACTGAGCAATGTTCAGCAACAGCCACTGGTCAACTTCCAAAAAAAGGCAGCGAAAACAATTGTCAATAGAACTGCGCTTTGTTATCTAACAGTAATCTCATCTAGACATACGCCTTCACATCAATATAGTATGTTTCGTTGTATCCTAGGGGAAGGTGCAAATCTCTGAAAGTGGATGGATGTTTACAAAGTCAAATTTGGTGCAAATCACAATAAGCATATTCTTTCTCTCAAAATAGAGTTCGTAGGAGATTTAGCAACGAACGGAAAGATAGTCCATGGTCGTTCTCGGCCGGAAAAATTGTACAGTTATAATTGCAAGTATTAAAGATTCATTCTGAAAGCCCTGAAGAAAATTAAATTGCTGAAAACTGCCACACTGTAACTTTTGTCTTCTCAGATGCTCTAGATGTGTTAGAGTCTGGCTCAGTTTTTGAGAATGGCGACCGGACTATGGAAAGCATGCAAGCGATTAGACTGTTCTCCAAGAGCTAAAGAATGACTGCATTAACAAGAAGAGGAAAAGATACCAAAATTGTGGATGTGCCAGGAGAGATTGAGGGTCAAATATACCCTTCAATAAAGCTGACGTCCTCGTAAAGAGCACGAGCCCACACTCCAACAACCAAACAAAACTACTCACGAGGAAGTCAAAGCCATCCCATAGGCCAACGAAAAGAAACCTCTGTTCCCAACGCTAAGGGAGAGGAAAATACATGCAGCTGTGAGCTCTGAACCAAAACCCATTCTTCTTGTACAGGACCTCGAGCCAGTTAACAACCGAATATCCTGAACAAACTACTCATAAGAAAGTAAGGGTTATTCCACAGGCCAACCTCTGATCCTTAGCTTAAGGGAGACGAAAAATAGTTGTAAGGTCTGCGCCAAAACCCATCTCCAAAACTATTAGTTTAAATGTAACAGATGTAAGTGAAGTAGGAACTTTTCTGTCTTTGGAAAGCGAAACAAATTTAAAGTAGCCAGCAAAATTAAGCTGCCTCGGATCCATAAAAGGTGAGCAGGTTCAAGGTGGTAGCCACAGAGGAAACCATGAAAATCCCTCACACAGCTAGCTCCAGAAATTCTACAATTAGATTTTTTTGGCTGAATATCTTGTGTAATTATTGAGCAAACATTATTAGAGGTCAAACGTAAATATACCCCTTCCAACATCTTAATGAACATCTTATACTTTCCCTCTGTTACGCGGACTCGCGGACTCCAGAACCACGGGGACTGGAACGAGACAGTCAAAGTCCACGACGTGACCTCCGTGAACTGTCTGAAGTTTTAGTTTTTCATTGACTAGGCGTTTTTGCGGTTCGGATAAGGTTTTGTTTGTTGACGTTAAAGGTTTGATGCTTAATGCTGTTTTCTGTTTTGTGGCTTCTAATGTTGGACAAGCTTGGACAAGCTTTCTACCTCGAGAAGGTTCATCAACTATCCAAACCACCCTGGATGATATATCCACCTGATGTTCTTCAAATTACATGAAATTGAACCCAAAAAAGTGCAAATAACTCAGAATATGCTTCCTACGTAACCCTGCCACTCTACTACAGTTGACTATTAATAACACCTCAATCGAAGTAGCAGAAAGTCACAAGCTCCTTGGAGTGCTCATTCAGGATGATCTAAAATGGCGTAGTCACATTCTTAGCATTACAAAGAAAGCTGCTCAGCGACTTTATATCCTTCGTGTCCTGCGCCGCAATGGCCTTCCACCCAAGGATTTACTTAGTGTCTATACTGCTCTAATAAGTTCTGTTTTGGAGTACGCATGCCCGATATGGCATTCTAGCCTTCCATCTTACCTTGTGGACAATTTAGAACAGATACAAAGAAGAGCTTTCAGGATAATCGAACCACTAATTTCTGACAAAACTGTATGTAATGTTTTGAATTACCCCACACTGGAAGAAAATAGGGAACGTCTTTGCCTCGAACAGTTCAAGAAAATTAAAAACTCACAGTTGTCATCATTAATTCCACAGAAAAGACTAGACGCACACGGCCGCCAGCTGCGCTCCAGCAATAACTTGACTCTTTTTAAATGTAGGACAAAACGATTTCAAATAAGTTTTTTTCCCGCAATGACGTCAAAGCTTAATGAATTATCGCAATAGACTTATATCACATTTGTAATAATTTGTTAATAGAATCTTGTGAGCCGGTAACCCAGTCCCCCGGCAAAATTTTTTATTTATATAGTCTCATTTAATTTGTAAATATTTTTTGTAATTTCTTGTAAATATGAAGTATTTCATTTTAGTGCCGAATTCATATCTAATAAACCATTACCATTACCATTACCATTACCACCATTGTTTTCGTATATTTTTAAGATGGTTTTTAGCAATCTTTACCACTGAATTGGACT